TCTGTTATCCTAGTGGCTCTGGAAGCCGAGACAGGAGTATTTCGAGTTCAAAGCCAGCCTCAGCAATGGTGAGGTGCTAAGAGACTTATTGAGACCATGTCTCTAAATAAATACAAAATAGGCCTGGGGATGTGGCTCAGTGGCTGAATGCCTGTGAGTTCAATCCCTGGTAAACACACTACTCCTCCCAAAAAGAGGAATGAAATTATGGCATTTTCTAGTAACTGCATGGAACTAGAGGCTATCATGATAAGTGAACTAAGCCAATCCCCCAAAACCAAAGGTTGAGTGTTTTCTCTGATAAGTGATTGCTGATCCATAGTGAAGGGGCGGGGGGGGGGGATAATGAAGGAACTTTGAATTGTGCAGAGGGGAGTGAGGGAAGGGGGGGGAGGGAGAGACTGTAGGGATGGGCAGGATGGTAGAGTGAGACAGACATTATTACCCTATGTACACACTACTGGTGTGACTCTGCACCATATACAGAGAAGTTGTGCTCTGTATCAAAAATGCATTGTACTGTCATGCATAACTAATTAGAACAAGTTTTAAGAAAACACTGTAAATATCTGATTTAAAGAGACTTATTAGACAAAATAACTGAATATATGTGTGGCAAAACCAACTGAAATTTAAACTCCGAGATAACTCAGAAAATTTTAAATATAGACTTGGTGATAATAAGGAATCAGTGGTAATCGGTATAATGATGATGTAGTGTTTATATAAGAAAGTATTTCATACAAGTGCACACTCAAACATATAAGGAGGAAATATGTAAGTCATCTACAATTATTTGAAAATACTTCAGCAAAATACCAATTGAAGCCAATATGGAAATAATAATTTTTCAGTATAGGTGATGGACTACGGGGTTTGCTACAATATTTTCGCCATTGTTCAATCTGTTTGAAATTTTTTATTATTCAGTTAAAAAAACTTGTCTCATTAAAGTATGATGCAGTGATTTGTCAGCAAAACAGCACTGTTTTATCGTCATAGAAGGTGTTGCTTTTTTGTGCCCTTTGTGCAGCAGACATAAATGTGTAATGGACCACCAAACTAGGTGATTGCTTTACCCGTGGAATCCCACAGTAAAAATGAAACAATACTCTTGCTTCCTCCCTCCCCATGCTCTGATTTTTAACTTGGTCCCTGATTGCAGAAGGTGAAGTAGTTCAAAAGTAAAACTGAAACATATGGGATCTTAAAACTGGTATTTTAAACATTTTRTTTCAACTTCAAGATTTAGAAAAGAAGAATTTTAAACTACAGTTACCAAAGTCATTTTCTTTCCTTTCAAAATATTCTACAACCTGGATTATATTAACACGTACGAAATGATTGGCACCGTCTCAGGCACATAACTTCAATCAATTGCACTTCTTTGTCCTTTCCTGTTCAGAGATTTTGAGGAGTTGTTGCCACATCCTCCTGTGCTGTTTCTTCATAGGGTGCATTTTTGTAGACAGTATATGCCAGTATGGGTAAGGCTTTTTTCCCTTGGGATGTTTTGACACCCAGACTCTAAAATAAATCATATTCCCATTTCAATGGAACTGACTGATGGAAACAAGAAATTCACATTGCAGAGTGGGCTGATTCACATGACCTGGCTACTGATGGAACAAAACATGTTGTTGTTGTGAGTGGGTGGATTTTTTCCCTTACCTACATGTGATTTCTCTTTTCCTCCCCTGCTTCTTATTTTTCATCTACACGGGTGTCAGCAATTGCAGATTTAATAGAAGGGGGAATCCTGCTGTTCCCTTTCCTCAGCCTCAGCAGCTCCTTAAGCTGTGAATAGTGAAATTTTGCTTTCATTTTTAAAGCAACAATGGCCAGATGGAAGTATTTTGATTTCAATCTGGGATTTAAAAATAAAATCCTCACCGTATGATCATGAACTGTAAACACTTATTGAGCTGTCATGTAAGACACTGTGGAGATGCTCTGGGGCAAGAGGCTGTGCTGGGGGGGGCAGGTATAGCAGTTTGTGAATTCTTTGCTGAGATATGAGAAATAATTACTGTGGAAAATGTTTGATAAGCACCACATGAGTGCCATGGACTGCAAGCATGGTACAAGTTCAGGGTCAAGAAATTGTTTCCAGCTGAGCCCTCATGGCTTCATGGATGATATAAAATGTAATCTGAACCTGCAGAAAGAGGTAAAATTTTGACACAGAGAAAGGGCAAGAAGCTATTTCCCTATGGGACTAATGAGTATATCCAGAAATGAGTTGTTTTAGGGTAACACAGGCCATTCTGGTTGAAGGGAAGATATCCTATTGAGACTGAGCATAGTGGGGGCAGGATTTTGGACCATGCTAAATACTAGGGAAACAGGATTTGGGGTAGTAATATGATCAGGCTGTGTTTGGGAGCTCAATCTGGCAGTGTCGACTTAAAGATGGGTTGCAGGAAGGAATGGCAAAGACAGGGATGTCAATTAGCAGATAACTGTGGAACACTTACTAGAAGGAGAACAAAGTGCAAATTCAGAGGAGATATGAGAATAAGAGAGTAGGTTAGAAGACATATATTGGTAAAKAAGAACTGATTAGATTTAAAGATTAACCATAGGTCCTCAGAAAAGGAGTAGGAAAATTTACACAAATTTGCATCATTTCATTGATGCAAGTAGTTAAGTTATATCTCATGTTACTCATTTGCAAATCTTTGAAAGAAAACTTAATTCTTCATTATTAATTTGTAAGAAATTTAGCCCCATCCTTATAATCACTAAGCTTTTGCACAAATCCCATGAGTGGTGTTAGTCAGTTTGGGCTGCTATAGCAAAAATACCACATACTGGGTGGCTTAAACAACAGAAATGTATTTCTTATAGTTCTGGAGGCCAGGAATTTCAAGATCCAGGAGCCAGCAGATTCAGTGTCTGGTAAAGTCCCTCTTCCTGATTTACAGATGACTGTCTTCTAGTTGTATCCTCATGAGGTGGATAAAGTGAACTCTAACCTCTTTCTTTTCTTATAAGAACATTAAATCACATCATGGGACTCCACTCTCATGACCTCATCTAAATGCAGTTATCCCTCAAAGGCCTCAAACTCCTGATACTATCCAGTTAGGGGTTAGGGTTTCAACATATGAGTTCTGTGGAGACACAGACATGCTGTTCCTAATCATGACACTTTCCTTCTTTTAGCCTGGACTGCCTTTTTATCCACTTCTCAGGGTGAGGAGAATAGTGCTGTGAAGGACAAAGAATGTAACCTGAAACTTTAATAGAATTTATTGCTTCATAAATAAAAATGTAAAAGTACTTCTGAGAAAGTAATCATAATTTAGGGGAGAAGGGATCTGGAGACAGACCCAGGAGGAAAGTCATGGAGAAAAGCCTACCTGGAAGGAAGTTCAGTGTTCTTCAGTGGAGGGACTGAGCCAATTTCAGGTGGCTCCAAAAGGAAGGAGCTTGGGAATAAATATTCTGAGCTTACTGTCTGCCCTCCTTTTTTCATTCTCCAATGATGAATTTCATTCCCCAGTACCTCCTCTTTTTCTCCCCTTCTTCCTTCTCCTGATCTCATGTCTCTACCCCACTGGCTTCCCTTCTATTTTCAATTCCCTCCTTTTTTCTCTCTCTAGCTTTCATACATAGGAGAAAATATGCCACTCTTGTATTTCTGAACCTGATTTAATTTGCTTAACTTGATGTTCTCCAATTCCACCCATTTTTCCTGAAAATGACATAATCTAATTCTTATTTATGTCTGAGTAAAACCTCATTATGTAGGTATACCACATTTTCTGTAACCGTTCATCTGTTGATGGACATCTAGTCTGGTTCCATAACTTGCCTATTGTGAATTGTGCTTCTTTAAATATGGGTATGCATGTATCACTATAGTATGAAGACTTTAATTCTTCTAGATAAATACCACAGGATGCTATAGCTCTATCATACGTTGGTGTATTCCTCCCTGCATTCTTGCCAGCATTTGTTATTTGTAGTCTTGATTTTAACTAGAGTCAGATGAAATCTCAGTGAGGTTTTGATTTGTATTTTCCTGATGGCTATTGATGTTGATTATTTTTTGTCATACATATATTGGTCATTTGTACTTCTTTTGAGAAGTGTCTGTTTAGTTCTTTTGCCCATTTGACTGGGTGATTTGTGCTTTTGGTATTAAGTTTTTTGAGTTTTTCATATGTATTCTGGATATTATTCCTCTGTTGGAAGAATAGTTGACAAAGATTTTCTTTCATTCTGCAGGCTCTCTCTTCACAGTAATATATATATATWTWWTATATTTTAATKAATATAGTATATATTTTTTAAAAGTCCCCTGTTATTAAATATTTGGATTGTTTCTTATTTTTTTGCTATGATAAATAAGGCTGAAGTATATATAGTACAGATATATGTATTTATAGTATTTACACATATTTAAAGAATTGTGTTGATCTGTTACTCTAGGATACATTTTTATAAACATAGTTGCATAGGTATTTTCAGTTTTCCTTTCTGGGAGGTGAGGGTACAGTGAAAAGAACATATTTTAGGGCCATATATCCCTGATCTGTCCTGCTTCTGCCACTTTCTGGATGTGTGATGTTAGGCATGTGAGTTCACTCTAATGGAGCCTCCTTCTCTTATCTGTTAAAGAGGAATCACATTGCTTACCTCCCTGTGCTGTTGAGAACTACACGAGGTAGTGCTTTTAGGGCACCTGATATATAGGGAGTGCTCAATACATGTCACCCTCCCTTCCTATGGGATGGTTTATTTGGCACCCGCCTGTATACACTTTTCTGTATTGAATGAAGAAAGTATTCTTACTAGATTTATTCAGTATTAAGAAAGAAGTAAAACTGACTTGCAAATAGGCATATTTTGACTATCAGAAATTCTTCTGTAAAATAGAAACCCAAGTGTAMGTTTTGATAATGAAGGCAGAAATGGAAGCCTCAACACTATCTTTGTACAGTGCAGTACAGTCAGTCTTTCTAATCTTCCCCATGCCTTTGCTTCCTCAGTGCTCATCTTCAAACTCTACCAGCGGGCAAAGCACGTGTACAGTGAGGCTGCAAGAGTGCTCCAATTTAAGAAGATATGTGAAGAAGCACCTGACAACATAGTCCAGCTGCTGGGAGAGTTAATGAACCAGAGCCACAAGAGCTGCCGGGACATGTATGAGTGCAGTTGCCCTGAGCTGGACCAGCTGGTGGACATCTGTCGGTGAGGCTGAGACAGCAGCATGATGGGGATTCTACCAAAGAATAGTGTTCAAATCACTGAAAAAAAACAATGCAACATTTTCATAATCTTTTACATGACAGAAGGCTCTTCTTTCCTTCCTCTATAAGGGTCCTCCCATAATATAGACCCCAACTTTATTCCTTTATTTATATGGATGAAAGCTTTGAGACCTGACCCCATGGTTTTATGAGGTTCTTAACTTGGAATCAGTTCTTTGTGGCATCATAAGAAAGACTTTTCCATCTTTGGATGACCCCACATTTTGGGAAAGTAGCTTTTTTCAGACATGGGCTCTGTCATTACTTTCTCATGATCTTTTAATTATTATGCTGTTACTGTGCCAGAAACTCATGTTAGGTGTCCTAATTAAGTTTACTCATTTTATTCAAAAGAAGGGAGATAGCCTAAAGAAGGCCTCAAGCTTGATAGGAGCATGTGGGGAGATTGCTGAAAGAATCACTCAGAAATCCAGCATTTCCTGCCTCTAGATTTAGTTTAGGCAATTTGGGGAAATAAGGACTGAAGAAAGTGCAATTTATCAATGGAGTGTTGAGACAGAAGTATGAAAAGGGAAATTCTTTTACCAAACCTGAAAACAACTTCCTTATAATTATCAATAATAGAGTGGTCCACTCACCCCAGAGGGCTCTTACTGACCTTGGGAGAACTGAAAGGGAAATTGGGAAAACTCCCAAATGGCTTGATGTTATTTCACTGTGAGAAGATAATATAGAGCTGCATGCAATTAGTAATGGAAATATAATTAACCACTTGGCGCCTGTGGCTTGCTTCACTCATTCCACACTCCCAGCCTGAAAAGTTTAAACCAAGTAGCTCCAGTGGTCACAAATGGCATGTATAACCCAACTTGTTGAGAGACTTGCACCCAGCATTGATGAGAACCACTCTGCTGACGTCAGTGTTTGCTTGCTAATTGCCCTAGAGCCTTCCAGAGCTTGTTTCATTATAAGTGCTCTTTTCTGAAAATATCAAGGGCCTAGTAAATGGAAGGGACATACATTGTTCAGGAAATAAGAGGAAGTGAAATGATATGTGCAGAAATGAGGAAGAAGCATCTTTGCTTGGAAAGAAATGGGATGATTTGATTCCTACCTGAAAAGCCATAGAGGAACATTTGCTGTTCTCCTAAAATTCTCTAACATGCTTTCTTTTCCTGGGATGGTCAACCAGCACTTGCTCTTATGGAATATACATTCTTATGAGAAGAGAGAGAAATGACAGTTAACAGTAGTTTGACTGTTAGTGATACATGCTGTTAACAAAAATTAGAAGGATAAAAACTACTGGGTTGACTGGATTCTCTATATGGAATGGTTCAAGAGCTCCTCTGTGAGGAAGTGATATTTGAGCAGAGACCTGAAGAAGTTGAAGAAATTAGAACAGCAAGTGAAGAGGCCCTGAGGTGGACATATGGCCATCATGTGTGAGGCACAGCAAGAGGACCAGTATGGTGGAAGGTCATTGAAGAAAGGAGAGAGTAGAAGGTGATGAAGTAGATACCCCATACCCCATACTAGCCTTGTGGGTCTAGGCCAGGCAAGGACTCTGGCTTTGAGAAGAGAAAGGGACAGTGGAAGTGCTAGTGATTCAGTGCCAAGTGTGCTTTCAAGGAAGAGTCTAGATAATTGCTGTATGGGAAAAAGAGAGAAATCAAGATGACTTCTAGATTTTTGGCCTGAGAAACTTTCCTTGTTTCACCAAAAGSCACATCTTTGGCATCCATTTTTCACAATTCTGGGTCAGAATTCATCTTATATTACCATCCTATATTAGAGATTTGAGAAGGCACTAAGGGGTGAAGTGATTTGAACAAGTTTCAAAATAAGTTAGTGGGAAAGCCTGGCTCTCAATTCAGTATTTTGCTCTCTCCCACTTGGTTACATTCAAATGTGGATATTTCAAAATCTATTTTCTCTCCTGACTTTGAAACTGCATGATGGGAAGTCTTGGTTGTTGTAGTTTCCAGCATTTGAACATTGAGCAAATTCATGCTAAGCAAGAAGGCAGGCAGTAGACTAGATAAGATTGGGCCAGAATTGGACAGATTGAATTCTAGCTTTGTTTCTTTTCATCCTGCGCTAGTTGACTTCAGACTGTTGTCTTGCTTTTTGATCTCCATTCTCTTTTTCTGTTCTAGCAGTCTACAGGTCTATAYGTTATGAAAAATGTGGTTCTAGTGAAAGATTTTGTGGCTCTGTCTTAAATAGGAAGAGTACTTTTTATTTATTTAAAACTTTTATTTGAGGAATTCCTTTTTTAATGGCAACTCAAGTGTTCTGACTACATATTCAATCTGCTGTGTTAATTTTCTGAAGAAAAAAACTATTGTGTCTAGAATAGAAGGAGTGCCATTTCTTTTTTCACGGCAGATTTTGTTTGGAAGCCCCTGGCTAAGTATCAAAATAAGTTTCTAGTTATTATATAACCATATAGGTCTGAGTTTCCCATACAGAAATATTATCTTCTGGCACAGGGAAAATATTGACCAGAAGAGTCGTTTGGCCTTTAAGCTTTTTAATTAATGTTTTCTTTGCTGTTGCTGTGACGAGCATATAATTCCATGGAARTATTCTAGCCAGATATTCCAGTTGGTAGTAGTACTGGAAGGTCCTACTAGCAGAACAAACTCAAAGGAAGAATTAAGTAGACATAGTCATTGTTACCACTCCTTCCTACAATCAACACATGCTTTTCGTGTGGATATTTGTATACCATGTGAAGTTGAAGTCTAATCCACATCTCAAAAACTGTGGAACTTTCTTTTGTATGGATATTTGAGAGGTGATAAGGCAAGAAGGAGCTGTTTAGAAGAATATAAAAGATGGTAATAAGATAAARAATTGTTAAAAACTGGGGAAGATAGAAGGTGGAAGAGTAATAAGTAGTAAAAATGGGAAAGATTCAGAAGAGCAATAGAAACCCTTAAGCCCTAGTTCCTCTGAGACCCTATGTATTTCTGGGCCAGGAAAAGGAGATATTGGATGTGCTGGAAAGGGCCCAGGCAAGGCCTGGTGTGGACCACTGGTTCCATAAACTCAACCTCTGATAGAGCATTTATTGAAAGACCACACCACCTCCAGATTTTTCCTTAAAAAATGTTAACATCAGAAGGAGTTGTGATTGAGATTGATAGCCTGAGCTCCTCCTTGTCTTTGGAGATGAAAAGGAGGGAAAATGAAATGGGTTCCAGGAGGAGCCCTGCCAAAGGTAATCTTTAGGTCACTCTCCCTGGGCACACCTGTAGCACTTTATAAAACTTTTGTGTTCTGAAAACTCTTTGGAAACTATTCACATGAAAAAGCAACTAACTGAATGATTGAATGAAGGACTTGAATACGTAAGACTACTCAAGGTACCACATACACGTGAAAACCTTGCATGATCTGAGTTAGACCATATTTGAGAAGGTGTTTCTCTAGATACTTTGCCTATAGGACAATGTATAGGGCAAGCAATTTTATGATCTAATTGGAGAGGAGAAAGGGGGAAAAAAGTAGAAGAAATCACCAATGTTTGAGTTTTTTGCCTTTTTTTTTTTTTTAAATTGATGGAGTCATTTACTGCTCTTCAAGAGAAAATCAGTTTAGAATCCAAAGAAAGGACCAGGGAGGAAGAAGGAAACTACACTTACGCAGTTAAGCTGCCTTTTTAATTTTATTTTATTAAATTAATGTTAGAAGTTTAATTATGTGAAACAAAATGATGAAGGAAAAGATGATGTTTTCCCAATTATAAAATATCTCTTTCAAATGAACAAAATGTAAATTTAAAAAAAAAAAAACAGCTAAATTTTAAAGTAGAATTACTGAGGACYGCAGAACAATTTTGAAACCAAGTCAATTAAATGTGAGACAGCTCATTTTTATCGGTTCCCTGATTTTACTTAAGAAAAAATAGTTAATTCCTTTTATTTCTGTTTTGACACTTGTTGAAACTAGAGACAATTCATTACTGTACTACTGCCCAAACCGTTAAGAAAGATGAATGACAGATTTTAATGGGTGGACAATGGGTACAAAAGTTCATTTGTTTTGTCTCCCTCAGAAGTCTTTTCTCAATTTTATTCCATGACTGAGCTGCCCAGCCTCTTGTGCCCATTCTCCTGACCAGATCCAAACATGGAAGAGTGAAGTATAAATCCTAGTAACATGCTTTTTAACCTGTGAGCTTAAGTCCTAATCTCCATACCCTAACAACAAAAAGGGAYCAGGGACCGCGACACTTAAGCTATCCTTAGGGATTTTTTCTTTAGGCCTCTGTGTTCTACTTATACTGCTTATGCCTTTTGCTCCAATCAAAGCAAACCTTCAGTAGCTTTTAGTGGCTTACATTTCTAAAATAAATTTGTATGCACATATTCTTATGATTTATTATTTGAGCAGTATTTGAAGACTATGGTTTCTTGAATCTAAAACAATCTGAAAGTGCTGTTTCTTTTGTTGTTGTTCTAATTAGTTATAGATGACAGTAGAATGCATTTTGACCCATCATACATAAATGGAATGTAACTTTTTATTTTTCTATCCATCATGTAATCATATATGCACATAGTGTAATAATATCTGATTCATTCCACTGTCCTTCCTACCCCCCACCCCCTCTCCTCCTTTCACTCCCCTCTATCTAATCCAAAGTACCTCTATTCTTCCCTAGCACCCCCATCCCAATTATGAATTAGCATTCTCATATCAGAAAATATTCAGCCTTTGGTTTTGGGGGATTGGCTTATTTCACTTAGCATGATATTCACCAGCTCCATCCATTTACCAGCAAATGCCATGATTTCATTCTTACCTTAAGACTGAGTAATATTATTCCACTGTGTATATGTGCCACATTTTCTTTATCCATTCTTCTGTTGAAGGGCACATAGGTTGGTTCCATAGTTTAGCTATTGTGAATTGAGCTGCTATAGACATTGATGTGGGTACATCACTGTAGTATGCTGATTGTAAGTCCTTTGGGTGTACACTGAGGAGTGAGATAACTGGGTCAAATGGTGGTTCCATTTCAGTTTTTCTGAGGAATCTCCATACTGCTTTCCATAGTGGTTGCACCAATTTGCAGTCCCACCAGCAGTGTATGAGTGTACATTTTACCCTGCATTCTTACCATCATTTATTATTGCTTGTATTCTTTATAATTGCTATTCTGACTGGAGTGAAATGGAATATCGGTGTGGTTTTGATTTGCATTTCTCTAATTGCTAGAGATGTTGAACACTTTTTCATATACTTATTGATTGATTATATTTCTTCTTTTGTGAAGTGTCTGTTCAATTCCTTTGCCCATTTATTGAATGGGTTATTTGCTTTTTGTGTTAAGTTTTTTGAGTGCTTTGTATATCTTGGAGATTAGTGCTCTCTGTGAGGTGAATGTGGTAAAGATTTTCTCCCATTGTGTATACTCTCTCTTTGTGTTATTGACTCTTTCCTTTGTTGTGAAGAAGCTTTTTAAAGTACTGTTTCTAACCTGACTAAAAATCATAGAAATTGTACTGGAAGATCTGTTTTCCTGAGATCTTGCCAGATTTTGGAGAACAGAAACTAGAAGTCTTTCCATATGAAGAATATATTATTACCTGTTTGTATTTATATATATTATATATTTTTATATTTTAAGACAAATATAATAGTTCAGCAACAAATAGTTCAGTTCCAGAATTATACTGGGCTGGGTTTAGAGTGATGGATATGACGTTTCCTCAAATTCACCTTTTTCCTGAAATAATTTAATATCCATTTATGTAATATATAAATATTTACTTATTATGAAATTGAATTGAAGTACAAAGCATGATACCTTATTTTCCCCTTTCTAGTTTGTAGCATAATTGGGTTTTTCTGGGGTTCCCTACATGTACTCTTCATTGGCCTGTGACTTGCAACTTAGGTTTATGTTAAACCAGTTCATTTAAAATTTGGAAATTTTAGATAGGCTACATTGGGTGCATGAATAATTATATGAATATTATTTTTTGGCAATAAAAGGATTAAAGGGAAATTCTTCATAATCTACATCCCTGTGGCCCTAGCATTTGTTATGTAAATCATGCTTTATAAGGCAGAGGCTGTTTTTTATTGCTTTGACAAACCCTTTACATCATTCCCATCCAGTCAGCATAATCATCAAACTGGTATTTAGGGGATTTTTGGATTGTTCTTTATAATTCTTGTATTGCCTCTCTGATGTACAATAGCTCAGGAGACACATTTTTAATGTTTTGCTGTTCTCCTAGAAAAAAAATTCAAATGTGAACAGTTTATTAAACAACCTCATCTCACCTACCTTTTCTTTCTTAATTCAAAGCCTCTGTTGGTCTTGTAACTTTGGACCTCCTTTGGAATTTAAATGATATAGACTAATGGGTATGTTAAGCACTAGTGGGAAACACTGTAGACAGGTCTTTTCCACCTCAGGATAAGTGCAGCTGAACTGGTTGCAGACTCCTGGGAAGCCTCTGTTTGTGATCAGGAGTGCCATTGACTAAGGGGTGGAAGGCCATTCATAATAGCACTTATTCTTTATTTGGGAAATTTGAGCTCTGATGATTTGGACCATGTGGTTGATACAATCTAGACCATTTTCCTCTGTGGTAGGCAAGGTGGTAACCAGACTCAGAAGTGAATGTGTTTACCTAGAAAGACTTCTAAATAAGGCTGGGGATGTAGCTCAGTGGTAGAGCACTTGCTTCATGTGTGTGTAGCCCTTAGTTTAACCCCCAATACCACCAATAATAATAATAACACATAGAAATAAAATAACTCTTCTAGTTTTGCTCTCTGGGCCTATGGCACAATTCCTATGTTTTTTTGCAGCCAGATTAGAAACAGTGCTCTCAGTTTAAGTTCAGTTTTTGAAACCACAACTTTAAAAACTGTCCAAGTGAGAAAGTGTAAGGAAACATGCCCTGAAATCCATTGAAGACCATTAAAGTCTTGATGAATTGAGTTCAGCAAAAATGGCATAGTTGGGGTTAGAAAATCAAGAAGRCATGTTGTCCTCTAAAGACCTTGCCATGGTTGACCAAAACACTCACATTTTAAGGTCTTTAAAGATGTTCGGGGACACCTCATTGAAAGTTTTTGATGTGGCTGTATATAACTTTTTTTTTTTTTTAATCAACGTACTGCAAATGGGCCCTTTGTTAGACTAGGAACTCAAAATCCAGAATTCCAGGGTCAAAGAAACCTTTCAGTTTGGATGACAGAGACTGGTCTCAGTTAAATTATTGGACCATAAGCTGGATGTTTTCAGGAAAGATTACTAATCTTTCTTTCTTTTTAAGTATTATTTTTCTTCCTTAAACATCTATTTTCATCCAACAAGTGTATGTTAATGAATGAAACATGATGAAAATAAATCAATTGAGAAAATGAATTATTGGTGCAGTAATTCTGATGTCCTAGAGGTGGGGTAATCTATTGATATTTTCCAGGAAGTAAAATAGCTCATTTAGATGGAAAAAAGGGACAGAATTGTGCTAAGTTAATTATAGAGTTTTTAATCTGTAACTAATTTGGGGTAAATTATATTAGAAAGAATAAATTGAAAGTATATGTTAACTTTTACTGTCAAGATCAATTGCATCTTTTGAAGATGAGTAATCCTTGCACTTTGTGTAAGGTATTTTACTTTTCAAATTTTAGGTTTGAAACTGTGCCTGGTTCATGGCTAAAGATTAAAAATGTCTTTAGCTGGGTGGTAGTTTAGTCATTTCTGTCCTAATAAGACACATCTCATCTAATGGCAAATTCTTAGTTCTGTTGTCAGACCAGCACTAGAAGGGCAGGAAGATGGTATGGATATGAATGGGCACCATTTTCTTTGTGGAAAGTTTGTATAATTTTCCATTAGAGATTAAACCAACCAACCAATCAATCTAGAGTTAAATAATGAGTTCTGTGTTGATAAATTTATGTAGAACATGTCTATCAGTTTTAAGGATCTGATTCTTTTTTTTGTTTTTCAGTACTGGGAATTGAATCTAGGGCTTTACGTGTGCTAGGCAAGTGGAGTTATGGCTCCAACSCCTGGAGTCTTATTGTCTTATGTTGAATAGCTAAGCCCTAAGAGTATAATTGAAATAAACAAACAAGTCCCACTTATATAATAATAAGACTGTGCACATTTGATTCTGTTTTGCCTTCCTTGCTAGTGGCCTTATGATTCAAAACGTTAACCACACCCATTGCCTGTCTTCTTTCTACTCACTTTTCCCACTTTACCTTTAGGCTTGCTACACATCTTGCCAGGTGTCTACTTTATGAAATCAAGACTACAGTGGGCTTTGCCAGATCTCTTACATCCAAAGTGAGGGACTTTACCTTCTGAAACAGTATAAAATTTTCAGTGTCCTAACATTTCTTAATTAATGTCCTAAAACATTTGGCAGTACCCCCAAATTCCCAACATATTCTCTCCTCAGAACTTGGATTGGCCATGTGTTCTATAAGCATCAAAGTAATCACTATTTTCATTTATATATAGTAATTTTTTCTCTCTCTTTGTTAGGAAGTTCGGCGCTCCTGGGTCACGACTGACTGGAGCAGGATGGGGTGGCTGCACGGTATCAATAGTACCTGCTGACAAGTTGCCCAGCTTCCTAGCAAACGTGCAGGAGGCTTACTACCAGAGGAGCAATCGCAGCTTAGCGCCAGAGAAGCAGAGTTTGTTTGTTACTAAACCTGGAGGTGGGGCTTTGGTTTTCCTTGAGGCCTAAACAATGTAAAATAACTCAGAGAAACTATTTAGGGCATTTAGGAACTGGCAGGACTTCCTATGCCACAGTAAATTAATCCTCTTTCTGTTTTATATTATGATGAATGCTTGCTATTATCAAGATGTATTTCTAAGGAAATGGTTGAAATCTCTCTATACTTCACAATGATTATTTTTCCATTTTAAAAACATTTTTTTTAAACCAGTAAAAACAAAGATTGTGCTTGGAAAGATCTTTTAAGGATGATTTACTAAAATTTATTGGTTTGAAGATTTTAAAGATGAATGGTGAAACAAACTGTTAMTACATGGATTGGACTTGAATTAAACACACCACTATAATGTAACTATAATTAAACTGATATAATTGAATTGTATGCATTATTCTTAAATAAAGTTCATTTCTGTTCTCGATAAATGTTTTTCCTCAAAGTTGTAGTCTTCTGTTGATGATGATGATGATGATGTTGATAGTGATGCCACAAGTTCTCTCTCAATTTTAGCTTCAGGACCCTATGAAAATAATACATGGTTAAGGATTCACAGATTTTCTTGGACATTGTTTACTTGAATGTGATTTTGCCTCATTTTGATTTCTGACTTAAAAAAGAACTATGTCTCAACTCTGCCATCACTAAGTGATCTAGAAATTATGAATGATATAAATTTTGTCTGGAAAGGATAGGGCTGGGACCACTGGAAAAAAGCTTTATGAAGAAAATGAAGTTTTGCCCTAATGGATGTGTAGAATTGGAAAGCTAGGGAGTATGTTTTGCAGATAAACATGGCATAGAGTGGAACTTGCAGACATGGGATGTTCAGAAGACTCAGTAGGAGTGAAGGGTTTGCTTGGTGATGTACTAAAGAATAACATTGGCTATAGTGGCTGGAAAAAAAGCTCCAAATCCAGGCAGAATTTAGTCGAAGGGTTGCAAGCAGGCAGCCCACAGGCCACATCGGTCTTCAAATGTAATTTGACCCACTGTATGTTTAAAACTTTGGGGTTTAGATCAAGAGATTCACAAAGAACCTGGATTACTGGTGGAAGATTGATGACACTTTGGCCTATGTTCCTGCAGGGCAACAGTGAATGAGAGCTGAGGTGAGGCACAGCCCTCAGTGTACTGCAGTTTCCCTACTGCTCAGACCATTCACCATTTACTTTTCCAGAGGCACTTGCTCCTTGCCAGCACATGTACACTGTTATTTTCTTATACTTCTCTGTGCCCATGTCTGTCAATAGTAGGAAAGACAAGATGAAGAAAAATGGGAGAAAGATTTTTGTGTGTGTGTGGGGGGTGAAGAATAGTTCTATTTGTTTAATATAAAACATGCAAGAGTTTCTTTATTTTCTATCATTTTATTGGCCCAAATAAAATTTTGATTATTTGACCCATTTTTGATCYGTTACACTGGTCACTAATGGGACTGCTCTAGATTTTCGGGGAAACCTGATATGTGAAAATCCTGACCTCAGATTGTTCAATCTTCTGATTTCTTGTACACTGGTCTCTGTATGTTCTAATCCATTGGAAGGGAAAAGGCCCTTCACACTTAATAGAATCTCCCAGAAGGGAAAGAGGAGCAGACGAGGAGGGGTCAAGGAAAGCAAAAAAGATGGAGCAGTCTCATTTTCTTTCTTCCCACATGTGACTACTTTTTAGAACCTTATCACATTCTGCCTTGGGTTTCTGTTAATTGAGGGCAGGGACCACTTATTTAACACAGCTGTTGGCATCCAATTTGCCTTTGTTGGATGATTAATGAAAATGAAATACAATTTCAGACACCAATAATTTTCTATTACTTTGTAATTCATACTGCATTCAAGAGATTTTTAGTTGAATAAATTGTCCCTCATCAGAAACAAGGGATGATGAAAACAGCATGAGATTGTCACTAAATATGTGAAACAGAGAGTATCTTACATGTGCATGTGAGTGATTAAATAACAGGAATGTGTTCTGTTTTTCCTCTGTAACTTGAGTGTGACTGTACATTGCTTATGAAACATTGTCAGGTCTATAGAAGAGGAAATCGAGAATTCTTGGTTATTTTCAGGAAGGAAACTTACCAGGCCCTGTAGAAATTTCTCCAAATCCTTCTTAACTTCTAAAGGTTTCTTGGTAGCCTTTTTGTAGAGTCTATGGAATAAAGAAAATCAGTAACCATACTAATCATCTTTATACTATCCAACAGCCAACATTTATCAAGAGTTTTATGTGCTATGCATTTGCTAAGCACTTTACATATATTAATTCAGTTACCCTTTTGATAATCTTATGATGTAGGAACTACTTTTATCTATTTTATCAATGAGGAAACGAGTTCAGATAGGTAAAGTAATCCCTCTTGCTCCATATTCATGAAGCTAGAAAGTAGATGATGTGGACCCAAGTKCTTGATTCCCCGCTCTCAATTCCAACCACCATGTGACTTTCCTTCTGGTCCACGCAGCATTACTTTCCTTAACTGATTCCACCAGGCTTCAGCTTGAAYTTAAGGAGTGAAGGTGGGGAGGGAGGAGTAAGAGACTATCAAGGGAAGAATGTGGGAAAGCAAAAGAGGGAAATGGAAAAGGTCAAGGGTGCTTACTGGACTAAGTTCACTAAGGGTAGAGGTCCAGGAATCTATCATGGTTTCTGTTACCAAGAATTCATTTGAGAAATATTTATTAAGGGGCTAATGGTTGAATTCAGGAGGCAGTAGGAAGCCTTCCAGAAATCTTAGGATGAGGGGAGAAGCAGAGTAGGTCAGGAAGGAAAAGTAGGAATCTGGGACAAAGGTGAAACATTAGTAAGAGAAACATAGATGAGGAAAAAAAAAGTGAAAGGAGCATATAAAGCTATTAATCTCACTAGAATTCTCATGTGAAACACCTTAAAATTATTTTTCTATGAAACTGGTAGGAAGTATAATTTTTTGTCAATTCAAGATACACTTTGCTGAAACAAAGCAAACCCCTAGCAAGGCATGTTCTAGATTTCTTAAATGTTTAGGGTAAACCTAAGGGCACAGCAGGGCCACCTAGCTAGAGGACTTGCACTAGTACTCTGACTGAATAGAGTCCCTCCTGCATTCTCTTCCTCTGCCAACTTAATCTCCTCAACCTGGGTTTTCTTCTCAGTTATTACCCTCTTAGTCTCACGTCTGTCTTTCTCTGCATGTCTCAAATCTGGCTCTTACAATCCATAATTCTAGTTAGACATACTCCCAAATATCTCTGGTGCCCTTTTTCAATGACACCCTTTTAGAGTCTCCTCGGGTGCTATGTTATCTTTGGAGTCAATTTCATCTCACTTTGTTAAAAGCAACGTATGTTTCCACCTCTTTAAAATTACTGTCCCCTCTCAAAAATAAAAGACAAGTTTTACTGAGATGTAGTTCACATACCATAAGACTCACCCTTTTCAAGTATATAGTTAAAGGTTTTGGTATATTCACAAAGTTTTGCCACCATCAACACTATCTAATCCTCTTCTTTCTGATTGCCCTTCCCCTTCATGAATCTCTTTGATCATTAGAGAAAGGAGCTAATATGCTGTGCCTATACACTTAACAGGCACTTGGGGTTAAATATCCAATAGTAGTTTCCCCTTTACTTTCTCTTAACAACGTTCCATTGAATAAAACGTGAGTGCTTCTTTGACATTACTCCAAGAACCGTACTACAGTCTTCTGCTTCTTCTCAGTGGTGAGAGATCTTGTCCAATGTGGATTTGGTTTTTTGGAACTTTGTAAGAGTTACCTGGAATCAGACTTTATAATAAATTAAAAACACAAAAAGGTGTTCCAAAGGGCAAAGTTAGCTGATGATGTGTTTGGTTAAAGGTAAGATAAGATTCTACAATAATATATTGGATTTTCTCATGTGACTGGGAAACTCACTTTGAGTTAGTKGGACAGTATGACTAGCACAAAGTCACGGTTCCCAAAGGGGCTGTCTGAAGGGCTACTCTCATCTGATACTTATTCTCGTGCATGTGGATGTGTTGGAAGAAGTGAGTTAGTCTCAATACTTTATAGTTTTCCTTTTTATGCTCTAACTTATAAAATAAATAAAGTGAATCCAATTTTCATTGTTTCATTGGGGACAAATGTTTGTGTGTCAGGGAAGCAGCAGGGGCAGAAGGGGCAGAAGAACCTAGGAAAGAAGAGCTAAAAACTTTGTTTTTCTCGTTTATATCCTTCCTAGAGAAGGGCATGGTTATGGTTTTATTTTTAAAAGAGTTTGAGATTAAGTCTAATGGTTAGAGAACTAAAAATAGATGATGATAATGTTTAACAATAAAATTAGAAGGGTAGGTGATATTTTGGATAAAAAAAAATCTAAAGTGTTACTACAAATGAACTGTTAAAAATAATACGCCCTTTGTAGACATCCCAGTTGATATATTTTTACAGAATAAACCCATCATGGTTTTACAGAACACATTCATTCAATTAAAAATGATTTTACGCACTACAAAGTCAAACAAGAAACAAACCTATCAAGCTCCTTGACAATTCTTCGATGGCGCTGTCTTATGTGTTTTATTTCTTCGTCAATTATTTGCTTTTCTCTATAAAATCAAAGTTTGGAGTTAAATTATAAAGCAAAGCAATCAATCCTAATTAATCAACAATTTAGTGACATCTGCATGTCAGTAAAAGTTCTTTATAGACCCATCCCTTCCATCCCTATGGACTTCTTGGTGTCAGGATTGCCCAGCACATTGTCCTCAGAAGCATATGCCAAAGGCACCACCCAGTATGCCTCTGGTGGCCTGGACACTGCACAGACAACCCACCCCACCCCCGCTTCTGCAGGGCTTCCTGGGAAGGTGTCCCTCCCTGCTCTTCCCACTAAGCCTAGGCTCCTCAGGCTTGCGTGTGTGTGCCTGAGTGTGTGTGGGTGAGAGGGGCCTGGGGGCCTATGGAAAGCAGGGGCTGAGACGTTTTGTTTACTGGATAGACCCAGCTGGCTGCTCTTCCATTTACTTCTCTTGTTCCCTGAACAACATTAGGTATCCAAAGCTGAGGGTGCCCGTCCTCTCTCTCCCCACGGCATCAAAATCTTTGAGACAATGGACAGAAGAACGATCCTGCCAATTTTTTCTTGTTAAAGTTCATGGGCATTGTTTCACAACTCATTCCTAACTTCCTAGCACATAAAAATACCATGACTAGCCATGAGCAATCATTTAAATTATGCACAGAAAACTGAAAATGTTTCCTAAGAATACATTTCAGAAAATACTTTCCTGTCCCGCTTTCCTCACTGCCACCCCAGCTGCCACCCCAGCTGCCAGGAACTCCTACTGCAGATAAGTTTTCTGCTTTTCTTCCAGGACTCATCTCTGCACACGGATGATACTCTGATCTCTTTTGCCTGGAG